AGTTCAGGTTGCTCCTGTCATTTAGAAACATCTGGTCACTGCGATGCACGGCTGGTCTCTGTGGTGCACACTATAAACCAAGCCCCAATTGACAAGCCATTCTGCCTTTGTACTTCCTGCTCACTTATCCAAAATGAGCCCTAGGCCACCAGAGATCAGGGCACTGATTGGGATCAACGTAAAATAAGTCTGCCTCCAAGTCCTGAGTGTTGTTTCCATGTCTCTGCTTGCTATTACAGGAGGAAAAAATCAAAAGGGTTTGAGGGAAAAATAAGAGAAATAGAAGAAGAGGAAGAGATTGATTAGAAGCAAGACTGGGAAAGTCGCGATGAAGACGGAAGAGAAGAAAGAAAGAAAAACAAGAATAGAATAGGACAGTGAGGGCAACAGCAACAACAAGAATGCTGGAAGCAATACTAATACTCATATAAAACAAGAACAATCAAAAGAAGAGGCCGGGGGGCCAGGGAGTTTGCTCAGTAGAATAAGCACTTGCCTGGCAAGCTCAAGGGCCTGAGTTCAATCCCCGGTTCTGCCAAAAAAGAAAAAGAACAATCAAAAGAAAAAAAAAGAAGACAAAAAAAAAAAAAAAAAGAAAGAAAGAAAAGAAAAGGTGAAAGGGGAAAAAAAGAAGAAAAGAAAAGCAGTGCACCTGAGGGTGTGTCTGCCATCACAGGAGACAAGCGAGGCAGCTGGAGATTTGTGGCGGGGGAGTGGACAGCCCCAACAAGCCTGCCCCTTGGCTGCACTGACATTCAGGTCGGTTGTGCGCTGGAACCCCATTTGTCCAGCCTGCAGTACTCCGTGTGCCTTCTGCTGGCTCACCTGAACTGGGTTCTGCCTCCCCTGACACTGGGAGCCACATGCAGGCAGCCCACAGCTGCTGGCTTCACAGCTGAGCCCTCCAAGGTGGCTCCGGGCCCACTGTCCCCTTGTGGGGGCCGTCTGAACCCTCACTTAGCAGCCACCGCAGCCTTCTGCGTCCACTGCCCCATCCGCTGGTGCCTTTCGCTGTGGAGACCTCTGGGGTCGTCAGCGTGCATCTGCAGCTCAGGTGCTCTCCCATGCAGGGAGGAAGGGCTCAGGGGCAAGCACTGCTCGCCGCCACCTCCTCCTGCGCGGAGGTCTCTCATGCTCTGCTCTTCCTGCGGGTTTTACTGCTCACGCAGATCACTCTTCTTCTTCCCATTGCTATATTCCAGTGTGTGCGCTGGAAAAACAGAGAAGTTGTTTTTCTGCTGTTGACCACTCTGCTATCTTCCCAGAAATCTTTTAAAAGCTTTTTTTTTTTTTTGGCGGAACCAGGGATTGAACTCAGGCCCTTGCCTTGCCAGGCAAGTGCTTATTCTACTGAGCTATTTCCCCGGCCCCTTAAAAGCTTTTTCAGCAGGGTTTCATTATGTAGTTCAGCCTGACCTTGAACTCACTATATGTGAAACCCAGACTGGCCTCTGACTTTTTCTTTGTGATATGGGGTCTCGATATACAGTTCAGACTCATAGTGATCCTCCTGGCTCAGCTTCCCCAGTGCTGGGATTACAGGTATGCGCCACCATGCCTGGTTTCAGGGCCAACACAGCATGCGGTACCAGGGATCGAACTCAGTCCTTGCGCTTGCCAGGCAGGCATTTATGCCGCCAAGCTATCTCTCCAGCCCAGGCCTCAGACTCTTGATGATCATCTGGACATGCATGTACCACCACACCTGGTAATTCTGGTGGCTTTGTCAGTAGGAAAAGGCAAGAGAGTGTTTGTAGTTGATTTTAGGGGATTAATAAAGTACCCCCTGGAGAACAAAGAACAGATCTACAGATTGGGCAAGGATATCTTATTCCCAAGAAGCCATTCCAGCTGTGACAAGCAGTGGAGTGCCAGGTGTGGTGGCCCAGGCTTGTAATCCCAGCACCCTGGAGCCTGAGGCAGGAGGATTACCGTGATTTCCAGGCCATCCTGGGCTACCAAGTGAGTGCAAGGCCAGCCTGAATTGCATAGCAAGACCCTATCTCAAAAAGCCAAAAAAAGGGGCCGGGGAGATAGCTCAGTAGAATAAGCACTTGCCTGGCAAGGACAAGGGCCTGAGTTCAAACCCTGGTTCCGCAAAAAAACAAAACCAAAAA